GAGATACTATCAAGAGTGACTAACACATTAACGACGGCATGAATTTGTAAAACCAGACATGACGGTCCAAATCCTGGGTTAGATGAGCTGCAAAACCTAAATTATATCTGAGATATACAGAGATAAATTTGAAAGATAGCCTGAATGAACATGTGGCACGTCATTTTCCAAGTTAAAGACCTTATTACACCCAATGCAAATATCAGGCGAGCGTCAGCAACTCCTTAATTAACTTCACCTTTGAGAAGAAAGAAATAAGCAAAATAAATCCAAGAAATTAATTTCACTTGCATTACTCTCCATTAAATCCTTACATTTGCATTCTTAGTGGCGACTGCCAATCCACACCACAAAGATATTTGATATCGTTCTTACTGCGAGTGATGCATTTTATCCAATCACAATGCAAGAAGTCATAGATTCCAGGTTTGTTGTTTGAATAATCACAGAAAAACTTCTTCTCCAAAGTCTCATAACCCTTTTCAGACTGATGTTTAGAGACTGAATATCTTTTACATCCACAACTACCAATTTAAAGGTAATTGCCGACTGTCCTCAACCCTAATATCAGTGCTTTAGCTCCGTTTGATTCTGCTTCGTGATCGTAGCTGAAGAGACGAGCTCATAAAGCAGCTGGCAGATTAGTCTGTATGTACACGAAGGAGGTCAGCTGCAGTGTAATAGGCCAGAAATTTTACTCTAGACAGAGAGGTCTGCCACCACAGCTGAAGTGAAATATATCAGTAGCTCATCAAGAACACTGTAAATGTAATTGCAGCCAAATAATGAATATCCAGGAGTCTTCTCGTGCAAACTAAACTGAAGTGGGAGCAAATTAAACGCCATGTGGTGAAGAAATGAAAGTGGAAGACGTTAAATCTTGAATAAATGAATGGAGAAAAACAATAAATAGAAATGTTCCTGCTGTCTGACTGACTGGTTTCATGAGTATAATATCTGTATATACGGTTTAACCCGTTGGTGGTTTCAGTGCAGTTCTTACTAAACCAGAACAGGCAGTACGTTTGGAACTACACAAACAGGTGCTTGACTCCTGTTAAACTCTACAAATTTACTAACTTTAAGGGATAATTAGAGAAGAGCAAGAGGCGACAGAGAGCATCAGACGCTTTCACTCGCATTTACACATAACGACAACATTTCTGTTATCTTGTACGCCTTAACACATCTGCAACATCTGTCTGCTAAGTGCTCAAAACGCATCAACACTTTCTCAAGATATGGAACTTAAGTGCGTGGCGAGAAACGGGTCATCTCTTTTCTCTGATGGGGTAAAGAACACAGTGAAAGAAGGATCCGTTAAAGAAGATTGACAACAACAAAAAATAAAAAGGCTTTAAAATAATTAAGTTTTTGTTTGTGCGTAACTTCTTTCAATCATTTTTTAGGGTAAACTCATCTCTACCCTCCACCGCCAGGCCCATCTTCAAACATAACATCATCTGTGTCGACTCACTTGACCAAGTCTATCCTGTTGTTGATGGCGGCCCAGTGGAGGAGCGTTACGTTTTCTTTGTCTGGCTGCCGAACGTCGAAGCCCGCCTCCACCAGCTCCCTGCAGCGCTCGAAGATGCCGTACCTGAGGCAGAGAGGTGGAGAGGGATTTAAGTCTCCTCGCATGCATATTCATGAACAGACACAGGGATGAATACACAACACCTAGAAGATGCTGACAAAACGCACAAATACATTAAAAGACACAAAAACAGGCGACGGACCCAAACAGGACGCCCACACTGTGGCGTAACTTGCAGATACTCCCAACCTCAAGTCAAAACAACATAAATCTGTTGTCAAATGCAACAACAGCTCAGGCAGAACTCTTGCTGTCTTATCAAGAACACATTTCCGAGCTTCATCGCTTCTCGACAATAAATTCTCTTTTCTGACCTCGCAAATTACAAAGAATTGGTAAACCACAGTTGAAAACATGGTGGCGTTAGTTCCTTTAATTACAAATCTGTGGTGTCTTGATAACACAAAAGCACATAAATAAAGTAAGGATGCTGCCCTGTCAGTAGTGATACAGTTTCCAATCAAAACAAATCAGAAGCAAGTAAACAAGGTCACCTTGCTGAATCAAAGCATTGTCAGGTATGACACTGGCAACAACTACAACATCATATGCACTCACTGTGTGGCTTTGACAATGTCCCAGGTGCTGTAGTCGTCCACATGGTTTTTACGGCTGACACTCTCGCTGTAGCCGTGGTTGTAATGACTCTGGGGTTTGATTTCCTGAGAGGAAAGAGGCACAACGAGAGACAGACACACAGATAAGTTAGTATGGTTGTGCTGCTTTATTAGATCATGAACACTATGTTGAAACATATGAAACAAAATGCAGACAGGTGTAGGTTTTATGTACTTATAATAATACTGACTACAGAACAGCGGTGGGAAACAGGGCTGGGCCATTTCATACCATGCACGGTAATACCGGTGTAATGTTAGGGGATGATATGAAATTGAAATATGGCAATAAAATTTGAGTGAAACGTGCAGTGTCGTTGTTTTCGTCCAGTCTAATACACATGGAGCGAGAAGCAAAGCATGTCGGCGACTGAGGCGGAGGGAGAATGTAGTGCATTGACTGTAGTCACAGTAGGGCTGGACCCGAATATTGGAATATTCTGTCGTTGTGGTGGTGTCCAGATATCAATTTTGAGATCCGAATATTCGCCCACCGCCGCCACTTATGCACTATGGATTTTAGTACATTATAGCTTTAATGCACATCACAAACAGCTGCTTGCTAAATCGAAAAGAAATTGTTCTTTTTTTTATTTGCACCAATAAAGTTGTGTAGTTTTGAAGTATTTTGTCAAACGTCAATTATATCATCAGTTATATTGTTATTATAAATTTTCTCATTCATATCGTGATAAATAGTTCTGGCCGTATCACCCTGCCCTGGTGGGTAACATGGCTAAACTTGTGTACCACGACACAACAGCGATACATCTTGTGGAGATCCAGCTGTAAAATGCACCTAAACATCCTGTGAGCACAACAATGCTGTCGAGCTGATTGATTTTTCAGCTTTTGTTGCAATGTACCGAGAGAGATAATGAGCGGCTTCAATCAGAGCTTAATCAAAATATTACTAAAATGACAATGTACATGCAATATCCAAATTGCATGAGCTGCAGTTGTTTGATGAAGGTAAATGTGTCACAACATACCACAATACATCAGCCTATATAGCCCAATAGAGTAACACAGTGCAAACAGAAGGGCAAAATTAATGACGGTAGACTAATTTCTGTTTTCCCTTAATGGCTCGAACTACCAACTGTTTTCTTTGTCGTGTAATCTGCTTCTTTTCTTTACTGATGCATAACTTGTTTGGTCTCTATTGGTCAAACTGACATCATCTTGTCTTGTTTTACTCAATGGAGACAAATAAAGATGCTCAGTCTACAGTGATATAAAACAGGGGAAAAAGCAGAAAACCTCCACAAAAAAGAAAGAAGAACAAGCACTTTGGGGTAGTTTTGCGTAAAACGTTACCTAAATGACAATTAAAATGGTATTTTCCATGGATTATGTAATTAATACTTAACTATCAATCATTTGGCTCCAACCAATGTATTAAAATCATGACAGAAAACAGGCACTAGACTGAAGCAGAGAAAACCGTATGACAGGAGTTTAATGCAAACCTAACCCGGCAATATTAAAAATATCAGCACACGGCTGGCAAACCTGAAAACCTCCCAGACACCTCAAAAATAATTGCTTGTTTACCGATCCTTAGAGGCTATTTTGGCTTGACCTTGATCAGTCAGTTTGCAAATGTATATTAGTTGTTGTGCCCGACAGCAGCAGGGTCAAAAGTGGACCATATGAAGGGGGAACGAAACCTACGAGCCTCGCAAGCTAACACAGATGTGCTCAATTAGTGTGGTTGATTAAACCTCTGTTCAAGTTGCGGTCATGTAAAAAGCTGTGCTGGAAATGATGTGATATCAGCAAAAGCCATGAACTAGTAGCGGTTATAAGGGTGTAAACTGACCTGCTGACAGGTGAGGACGTCTAATCTGTACACAACCGTGCAGGTCTGAGAAGAGGTCAATTAAGGCAACGTAAAAGGAACCATCGGAGGTCTAAAACTCAGGTGGATCTTCTACCAATAATAACTGTTGGAATGGAGCCATCTTTAGTCAGTTGTTAGTTCCACCACAGCTTTGCCTGCTGTAATAAATCAAAATGTTAGCTGTAAAAAAAAAAAAAAAAAAGTCGAGAAACCCGCTCGGCCTGAGAACAATAACGAAACAACGGTACTCGGATGTGGCTAAGGCAGAGAGGAAATAGTGGCATGGCAGAAACAGGTTTGGCGAAGAGACGACAGCCCCTGGTACTGCGTCGCACAGCGGTTTGCTCAAGAACACTTCAGCATTCATATAAATAGCTGATCGCAGCGGTAAAATAGTCAGGAGACGGGCTTGTTGAGTCCTGCAGCTGCTGAAGATCTTATCTGTCACACACACACACACGTGGCGACTGTGCCACTCACATTCAATTAGCCTCCATAGCAACGCCACAGAAGCCACAATTAGCCTCCATCACCCGGAAACGAGAGCTGCATCTGGTAAACACAGAGCGCCCACACTGCCTGCAGCCGCTCTGACTCCTGAGAACTCAGATATGTGTTAAACCAAGTTGCTTCAGATTTGCAATTTCCTGAGTGATTCTATTTCTATTGACTAAAAGTTAGAAGTAGACACAAAAACATCACAAAGTTGAGTCACAAATGTGATCGTGACTCAGGAACTGACATCAACCTTGATCTCAGCATTTTAAAAACATTACCAACTCAAAAATCGCAATATTTTGTTCAACCTTCAAGCAGCCATTCAGGCCTTTTTTTTGTCTGTTCTGCTGCTTTAATGCATGTAAGGTTGAGGAATAATGAGGCGGCCTCTGGGGGGTTGATGACACGGCAGGCGAGTGCAGAGCTGGTGAGCAGTCTGAGGCGAGAGCACGGGGCCACGGAGACTACAGAGCTGTACCGTCTCAGGTTTAGCTTGGGCTTTCCTACAGTCACAGGGATGTGCACAGCCTGCAACTCCGTCCCCATCAGGGAAGGATGGTGGAGGCAGAAATGGAGAGGGTGCATAGAAAAACCAATACAGGCAGGGTTTATTTTCCAGTTAAATGTAAACTCATGCTAGGGGTAAACAATGTGCATTTTATTTATTTTTTTAGCAAACAGGCTGTGAGTGCTGTTATTACAGGCAGCCAGTCACTGACTTCAACGCGGAATGGCTGCAGCTTTCCAACACACTGTTCATTAACCTCCTGAACTCTGGGTGTTTACTTGCTCCCGTCACATTTGTCCACACTGTGGGCAAATTTCTACTGCAATATAAAGTCCTTCCACAAAGTCCATACATCATCATAAATGAAAGTTAAATATCTTAGATGTATTACTTTACAGAAATTAAAAACGTGGAATCGACATGTGTAACAATCTTCCTGCAGTTTAGCTGAATTAGTATTTTTGTCAAGTGACTGTTGGTCACAGCTGAGTCACTCGTGGCTTCTCTCAGTCAGCACAAAGGAGCACTGAAATCTTTTTCTGTCTGTTTTTTCAGAATCTGAGAAACTGAAAATAGTTGAAAATAGTGCATTTTTCAATGAGACATTTAGAAATATTCCAATTTTAAGATGTAATTTGGGTAACTTGGGTAAATTAAACATAAAATTCTGGTTTGTTTGATTAAAAAAATTGCTCACTTCACTGTGTTTTTGTAAACTCTTCTCTGTGGCTGCTGGTCTATATGGAAATACAAACACGGTCACAAATCTTCTGAGCATCTCATGAACTTTATATGATGAACAAATAAGGTTATATTGCATAAATTACAGGGAGCCAATAATCAAGAGGTTAGGACTACATTGCTACAGATGGCAATGTGGTCATGTCTCACCTGCAGAACCAGACCTCAAAAATCGCCTCTGAGGGGCGCCGCTATAGCTCACCTGGTTGAGCTGACGTCCTATGTGCAGGGCTACAGTCCCAATGTGGAGGTCATGAGTTCGAATCCCGCTCACGACCCTTTCCCACACGTCCTCCCCCCATTCCTCTCCCCCGCTTTCCTGTCTCTCTCTCACTTCACTATCAAATAAAGGCACAAAGGCCAAAAAAATAACTTAAAAAAAAATCCCCTCTGAAGGATAAGCCTACATTTGCATACACTTAGAAGTAAATGCACAAGATAATACATATCAGTCTTATCACATGCAAAAAGCTTAGGAGGTCGAGTGAATTGAAAAGATGCATTTGTCTTAGGATGGGGAAAAAAAAAACGTAACATGTCTTGAACACTTTTTAGGTTTACAGCCGATGGTGTTCTCCGAGGTCAACCCTATTTTCAGGGTGGCCTGGGCCCTCCATCAGAACTTTGGATCGTCACAGTCTACTTGTGTGCTTGTATTTTGACCACAACTTCAGAATGATTGCAATGAAAAGCAAATCCACAAACTGCTTTGTGTGGGACGTAATGTCAGCCTTACGTTCCAGACAATTCAGACATTTGCTGTAGTTTCAAAACCGGATTACGCAACAACGCCTTGTCGCACCGAGAAACAATTAGTATCACTGGAAAGATTAAATTCTGCCGTTTTTATTTGATATGTGGTACATAATGAAACGATGGGCACTTTGTGTCACGTTCAAGGAGTGTGAAAGTGGGTGAGGATATTGTGAATGATATTTGGCTAGTTTGCAGAAGCTGGTTCTGTCTTCATAGCATGATCATTGTACAAATATGTGACAAGGATCATTACCCAGCTCTGGTTCTGCTCTTTAATATGATATGTGCTCCGTCTATGCAGTGACAACCTCATGAGTAATTCCAACTAGACTGTTAGGTGTAGAGATGGACACACAGAGCTGCACGAATAATTATGTGTCAGACGGGTTGTACAGCTTACAACCTAAATTCCTAGATCCCTAACATTACAAATCATCAACAGCAAGGAGGGACAGTAGCTGTGACACTACTATCATAATACCATGGAGTAAAAAGAAGGTACAACCTGCAGGATATTTTGTCTTGGAGAGTAAATGAAGTTGAGGAGGAGGATGGAGGAGGAGGGTGTGACGGAGGAGATATGAAGGTGACTAGCTCAGATTTTTTTCCTCTATTATGAGTGCGAAAGCTGCCAGGAGGTGTTTGTACTTCTCACTGCCAAGTATTGGTGCCTTTACAAATCCATATGATCTATTT